ACCGTTCGGCCACGGAGGCAGTTATATTAATTAGATTCAACATTAATCTGTAATCAGTCTGAACAAAGAATCATTTTTCTTTGCCTTACAAAATTAAGTGAATTGATTATTTGTTGTGCATTTGGTGACACTATATTAACGTTAGAAATAATCAATGAGTTTCGACCTATATTTAATATTTAAAGTTGACGAGTGGTAAGTTGTGGTGTGAAAGTACTAACTGCTCGGCTTTGTTTATCAATAGCTGATTTCGTTTTGCTTCATACCGGGGACCGTTTTAAGCAGGAGAAAGAATCGCGAACTCAACACGCACCGACTGGTAATTTTACAATTCAGAACCAAGTGCTCTAATAATAATTCTATTTAAGCTGCTTGTTAATAATACGAGGGATGTGCGATGTTGAATAACACGTCAATATAGTCCATCACAGTGTTTCTAACAGTAACGATCAAACTAGCGATGCATCAGCCATTGATAGATTAAACAAAATGATAAAATGTTAGAATGAAAGAAAGAGGAATATGTGGATTTTCCTCACATAGCGCCAATCCTCACAAAATCCCCTATCTAGTCGAAACTCCCCACAATCTGGGGAATTCCCTACAAACAACACAGTTTTAATTGCTATCTACCGTCCCCCTTCCAAGCACAACATATGTAATTTTTTGTCATCATTAGATCAACACTTAACTCGTTTCACTTCCTATTGCAATATCATACTGGTAGGGGATATAAACATTGATATTTCCACTAACACAAACGATCCGCGTTCCACTGACTACCTGACCATGGTAGCCTTTCATGGAATGCTCCCGGCTTACACCCTCCCTACTCGTAACAATTATTCGCGTATAGACCACTTAATTTTAAAAACAAAATGTCCTGCCTTCTGTTATACAGCGCATACATCTGTCACTGATCATGACACTGTTTTATTTTTCCTCATTACTAAAGCCTCTGAAGTTAATTCCCATAAATCAAAAACAATCAAACTCTTAGATTATTGTAACCTGGAATCTCACCTCTTGAACATAGACTTTAAATTAATGTACAATATGATCGACATAAACCTGGCCCTAAATCGTGCCATATTAGCTAACACTACACTCAAAGTTATTTCTAACCGTAAAACGCTTAAAAAGCATTGGATGACGCTTGGCCTTCTTAGATGCCTCAGAGACCGTGACCAGCTACATCTAAAAGTTAAAAAATAAAAAGTCACCTAAAGATGTCGTTCTTAAGACCACATTTGCTAGATACAGAAATTTCTGTTCGACACTCCTAACTAAAGCCAAAGCTGAACATGATAGGGCGCAAATACGCAACGCTCAACACAACACCAAAAAGCTTTGGAAAGTAATAAAGGACGTGACCTATACCTCCATAGAAAGAAAACCAGCACTCGATCTCATTTCAGCTAACCCTGATAATTCAATAAATAATTTTAACTCTTTTTTTGCTAACATCAGACGTAGCTTGGCAGAACGTGTCCCCGTAATCCATAATAGTTCTTCTACTGAGTCACCTCACCCTAATAACCCTGACACATTCGTCCTGCTGCCTACGGATGAGGACGAAGTTGAGCGAATAATAGTGAATCTTCGTGGTGATTGTGCTGTGGGCAGCGATAATATCTCGGGCTCTTTTCTAAAAAGATTCAAGCATATATTTACTTCCCCTATAACGTACCTATGTAATCTCTCCTTTTCTACCGGTGTCATCCCTGAAGCCTTTAAGCTCGCAATTGTCCATCCTGTCTTTAAGACTGGGGATAAAAGTCAAATAAATAATTACCGCCCTATCTCTATTCTACCCACCTTATCTAAAATCGTCGAGAGGCTACTCAATAACAGATTGGTTAATTTTCTTGAAAGGAATCTACTGCTGTCTGCCTCACAATACGGTTTCCGGCCTGGAATCTCCACTAATAATACTGTATTAGATCGTACTAATACAATTATGCTAAACTTGATGACAAGCAAAAGGTGATTGCTCTCTTCCTCGACCTCGCCAGGGCTTTCGACACTATCTCGATTCCTTTACTCATCAAAAAACTTGAAAGGCTTGGTATTCGAGGTGTACAGCTGGATCTTTTTGCTAGTTATCTCACAGGTAGACGGCAGTGTGTGAGGATTGGGGATTAGACCAGCACTGAACTACCGATCACGTTCGGCGTGCCCCAGGGAAGTATAATCGGCCCCACCCTGTTCTTAGCCTATATCAACGACCTCTGTAATATGCAGCTAAACAACAGTTCCATCTTCACGTATGCCGACGACACCGCCTTAATCTTTTATGGCGATTCCTGGGAGTCCGTATTTGACTTTGCGCAAGTGGGTTTTAATTCTGTTTCCAAATGGCTTTCTCACAACCTCCTCACCCTCAACGTAGAAAAAACCATGTATCTCACGTTTTCTCTTACAAGTCGTGGTATACCATCCTCCTCTGCATTCTCGATAACTGCACACTCGTGTCCATCCTTTTCACATGATTCCTGCTCCTGTCCGTCTTTAGTCCGTACACACTAACTAACTGCCTCCGTGGCCGAACGGTTACCATGCCGGACTGCCACGCAGAGGTCCCAGGTTCGATTCCCGGGCCGGGAGAAATGTTTGTATGGCTTACATTTATTTC